TGAGGGGGTTCATACAACAATTCATATACATAATCCAACACATAATGTTCATTACAGTTAGGGTTACATATCCTGGAAAAAGAGAGGCTGTGTAGAAGATAAATTGCTCTAACAATCCCCAGTGTTTTTGCCACCTTTTGTCTGACCCGCTGGCATTAGTGACAGAGTTTATGAGCCGAGATTGATATTTTGCTACGCAGAAGATCTGCCCATAAAAAGATATTATTACTGAACAAGGGGCTACTAATGAAACGACGAGGTCTGTGAGAACATACTCAAACTTGACAGTAACAATACAGTCCCCGTAACATCTAATTGGGTTCTCTGTATGAAAAATAGCATTGTATAACATGATAACCGAATGTATGCTTGAACACAGCCAGATTAAAATAATACAAAAAACAGCTTTGTTGGTGGTGACTCTTGTAGAATATTGCAGAGGATCTTTCACAGCAATGTAACGATCTATAGATATACAAACTAAATTACCAACAGATGCCGAAACAACAGTATAAAGAAAAAACAACATGTCTCAATATATCTGATGCCCATCAGTGGTATAACAATCAGTCCTACTCGCAGGTCGGCCCCAGCCAGAGAGAGGATGAGCAGGTTAGTTGGAGTGTGAAGCTGCTTGAAGTGAGAGATGGAGATGATCACCAGCAGGTTCAGAAACACAGTGAAAAAAGTTGCTAAAGATATGAAAACGTACAAAACAAAGTACTCCACTTGAGGTTTGATTTCTTTGATACATGACAGATTGTTGTTCAAAAGCAGTAGTCAGTTTCTTGATTATCTGTATCTGTCATTACCCTGTTAAGCATTTTAAAATTGTATTAGGAGTACCACAAGTTTCAAAAATAAGACATTTTGAAGCTGCGGGAGGATTTTCACGCTTGTTCAGTTTTGTGGATTTATTTATATTAAATGAAACCTGGCCACATCATACACAGGAGGGTTGATGCTTTGGTTTAAAACACACACATAAGTTAAATATTCAAACGCACGGGGATGTTTATTCTAAAGTTTATGGCCAAACAAAAAAATATGAATTCAGATTTTTCTTTAAATTTACATCTCACAGTCAGTTTGGTTTGGTTACTATCCAGGTTGCTTGAGCAATTCATACAAGCTACAAGAATCATAGACTGTTAGTCACCTATAACTGTTATACTGTAGGTAAATCTCTGTGTACTACCTGACAACTTTTTTACTGCCATTTTGTGAACTACTTTACAGTCCTCGCTCTACAGACTATCTTCCACTGATGATCAAGCCATTTTAAATGCAAACACAAGAAGTATTGTCAGACAACTAGTATTAGTATTGACCTGGCCTTGGTAGGACTTCTCACAGAAAATAGCATGCAGCACATGAGGAAGCTTATTTTAGCCAAGTCACTTTACTGCAGGACTGGTGTCAGAATCTTAAACTGGAAACAAACCTGACTAAAACAACAGAATTTATAATGCAATCTAACCCGAGAGGGGGCAGTAACATCCTCTTTAATCTATCTCCGTTGTGGAGACTCACAAAATAAAATGCACCCTTTTTGAAAATAACTCCACACAGCTGACATGATAATTGCGGGCAGGTCTCACCTCAGTCAGTCACGTTCAAGCTTCCGTTCACGTGACGCCAGGGTTGCCAAGTCTGCGCTCCTCTCCCACCCCGAAACGCGTAGTTATTTTTTAAGAAGCAATTGGCTGGTTTTGTTGTGAAAATCTGGCAACCATGTGTGGCGCATGTTGCTCATCTCTCCTAAGGGCGTTTTTTTCAGGTGTTGTTAAGCATGTGTATGACAGTTTAGGACTAAGATCCGTGATCGTATTATACTCCGGCGATTCATACAATATCCAGTGATTTTGGCCCGTATCCGACTAATACCTATACTGAATGTCGGATCGGCGCACCCTTAATTTTAACTATGGTGTCACTGATGCATATCTGTTCGGAGAAGTCAAAGACAAATTTCTACTAAGGTGCACAATAAAGTCTAATGAATAATTAAACAACTTTTTTAAAATTCTGATTGGATAATTATCAAGATCGAGGCCAAGTCTTGTGTATACTATTTCAGCCCGTTCTCATCCCAAGGCATCATATAGACCATTTCACAAGATGTAAACAACACTGGTCCAGAAACACTTCCTGTTTCAGGTTGTAACTGTTTTCTTTATTTCACATGTAAAGAAAACATCTTAAAGATGTTTGTTTAACTTTTTGATTCAGTTTGAAATGTTCTGTTGGTTGTATTTTATCCCAGCTTTTATGTAGTGTTAAAAAACTGAAACATGAAGTGCTTCTGGACCAGTGTTGTTTACATCTTGTGAAATGGTCTATACAACACTTTTGCCAAGGCATAGACCTCCAACGCCAATGGCTCCCTTTAGACAATATGAGAAGCAGATATATATGGGGCAGAAGGCGCCTGCTAGTGGTCTAACCCTAACCCTACGCCAGGCCTAAACCTACCCATAACCGAAGCGTGTTATATTGACGCTAAAGGGCGCCATGTGCGTTGGCTGTCTACGCTTTCGTATATGATGCCTTGGGATTTTTTAATGGGGATCAAAAAACGTGAACACATTACTCCAACCCTGATCTCCTTGCACTGGCTTCCAGTCTACTATAGGATTGATTTTAAACTTTTGTTACTGGTGTACTAATCTCTGCATGGACTCGCACTGGCCTATCTGTCAGATCTTTTAAATGAATATCAGACTGGACGAAGTTTGCCATCAGCGACTCAGAAGCTACTCAGAATAACTAGGACACCTCGAAATAAAAAAGTTGATCGTGCCTTTGCTATGGCAGCGCCTAAACTTTGGAATAGTTTGCCTAAACACATTAGAGATGCCGCTACTGTGCAGGATTTTAAAAGACAACTTAAAACACATCTGTTTTCAATAGCTTTTAATCAGCGATAATTTATTATTAAACATGTTTCTGCCTATGTGATGCTTATCTTTAAGATTAGATTTTTTCACCTTCTGTGTTATGTGTTACAATGTAGCAACGAAGACTCACTCTTAGTTTAGGAGTTTTCGTTTTTCATTACTGAGAGTAGGTCTGAAAGGCGCTGTGAATAACTTTTAAGAGAATACTTCCAGCTAAAATATTTTAGTGTGATTTAGGAGTACTCCTAGTGGTAAGATAAAATTCTTTGTGAATACGGCCCCTGACCTTGATGAACTGAACTGGAGCGGTTTCCACATCATAATCCCCACGGGCCAATGGGAGTCTCTCCAGCCTCTTTGGAAAGCTGAAACAAACTTCAAACAAACTTTGTTTTGGCCTGGTTTTGTCTGAAATGACGTCACACTTGTTCATGCTTCGATTTGCTTTAAAGTATACCAGGGCCTTAACCCTAACAATAAAGATATATTTTTAGAAATGGTTCTAAACTGAAAAGTTATAATATAATAACAAACTCAATTGGTCGATTTTGATGTAATGTTGACTTTAAAGGGGCAGATGACAACGCAGGCTTATAATAAATAGAATGTAATCCTGCATTGGTGTGGACACTTAGATAGTTATTGTTCCTGGTGTGAACAGGCCTTTGAACGTGTATCATATAGAGCAGGGGTGTCAAACTCAAATACACAGTGGGCCGAGATCAAAAAATTGCTATAGGTCAAGGGCCGGACAGGTTAAACACTTATTGAAACAATTTATTATTATTATGAACCTGAAAACAACAAGGTCTATATATTATTGCCAATAAAACAACATTAATTAGGAAATAAAATAAAATAAATAAATAAAATCAGTTTCACTAATTTCTTATGGTTATTTACAAAAGTTATTTACTTCAAAGGAAAATCAAATGTCCTATAGCAAGAGAAAGAAATGCAAAAATGAAAGTCCACCTTTTCAAAGTTCACCTTCCTTCAAATTTGGCTGATTATTTATGCTGAAAAATGGCCGAGTTTTGGTCTGTACTAATCTGTCACTGTCACATCGGGGAAAATACCTTTTGAGTTACAGACTACCAAACGTTAAAGAGAAGAGTGCAAAAACTGATGAAAGAAGGCGTTTGTGGTTGACAGAGGCACAGCATCAGCAATACGGCACTGACATTGACACTGATGGAGGGGTTTGCATTTGCAATAGTGATGTTTTCTTATTTAATTTTTACAACATGGATGTGTGTAGCCACCGCCGCGCTGGACTATATTAGGGACTTTAAGCAACAGCCTCTGGTGGAATTGCGTATTGAGCTGCAGAACGGTAGGAATCTGTTATGCAACGTTACGGCTTTTTCCGCGTTCTTGTCAGCGCCGGTTTCAATACATGTTTCAGAAATAATATTTTTCTGCTCGTCCGGCACTTTGCAACAACACAGCATTGTTTCGGCAGCGACTTGCAGCATGTCTCCTCTAAAACTGATGTTTAACGTTACATTTTATGTGGCGTGAAAGTCGCATTCCATCCGAAATCCGATCGTTCAGACTGAGGCATATGGTATTTGAATAGGATTTCAAACCACATATGGATGTAGCTGCTAGCTTGAAACGGATTTCATGTGCTTTTTGGACTGACAATCTGAGCGTAGCCTATGTCGGAACAAGAAAATAGAAGGAAGAATTGCAGTACGGGCTATAGAAGCTCACCATTACCACATATTAACTTTAGTTTGTCAAAATATTACGCTCTCTCCTGCTTGGTAAGTCCATCTCTATATGATTTCGTACCTACCAAGGGTTTTTTCTGTGTTTTTTAGTGTAACAATGTGTTCCGTAGTACATACATAGTGCAGTAAATGCTGTTGTTTACATCCGAGTGCCCCCATAATGGCCACTCATCCGGGTTACCGCCCAGAATGTCACGCTTTCGCGGTCATGTTTCCATGGTGACGCGTCATTGCTTGTCACGTGACACAGTGACGGCGGGCCAGCTCTAAAAATAAATACATTTTGTCATGCGGGCCAAAAATAATTCATTTGCGGGCCGGTTGTGGCCCGCGGGCCTTGAGTTTGACACATGTGATATAGAGTATGAAAACTGTGCAGAATTAAAGAGGAATACACTGTACTGCTTCATCTTTAAAGGATGTTTCAAACTAAGTAGTCCAGTTCAGCATTCATGGCAGAATACATTTCATAAATGGCATCTACAGTTGCAGTGAAGTTTATCAAGAACTGGCAAACTTTCCTTAAGCATTCCTCCTCGGCAACTTCTTGATCCTTGGCTAAAGCTTTAAGGAAATCGGACCTGCATGGCGCAGCGTATTGGGCGGCCTGCAGCAAAACCAAACAAAATTGCGGGGTAAGCAAGCAATCATTGTCTCAATAGCAAAGCGATTCGTTATTACAGATGACCCACATTTCTCGACTAATTAAATTCCATGCCTTTTCCATGATTATGATCACTGGATTTTTAAAAGTATGTTTACAAGATCATTTCCTTTACAAGAGTTTTCCAGGCCTCATTACATGCACAGCACAATGACATCATGCACACAGTTACAGAAAACACCCACCTTGAAAACGTTTTCTGGACAATCCAGCCGTGATGCCTCTTGAGGGCTCGGTCATAAGCTTTAGTGATATTGATGCGGATAAGATTGGGATTGTCCTCATCTCTCTCCCCATCCACTAGACTTTGCAGTAAAACCTGAATGAACCGCAGACCTCTCTCCGGGCTAGGGAAGCCAAGCTCCAGGACAGGAAGCCACTCGCCGTCACCATGGAAACAAACTGGTTGGCTGCATTTCCCAAAAACCTGTTACACATACACTTGCTGCACATTTACAATTTCTCTATAATGTGAAATAAAACAGCACAACACACTGCTGATGACCATCCACGCCACTTCATTTCAGTTTTACGAGACCGTATCCACAAGTTTCCTACGCCCCATGAGGCCTTGCGTCAGAAGTGGGCGCGACTTCCGGTTTGAAGTAAACAAAGCGCGACTTGACATGCTTGACACTCGTTCATTCAACAGTTGACAGTCATTCAAGTTATAGCGATCCAAACTAGCTAACGATGTGGGAACACAACCTCAACGAAATTCAAAAGGGTGAAATAACAGTACCTTTACCCTCCGCAGTGTATTATAATAACATTATTAATAATCAATACTCATCAAGGCATGGTGACAGACAGTTGTGCGAGCTGACAAACAATTAAAATAAAAAATACACACTTAGTCATTGTGCTTTGGAGTTTATTCAAAATTATAAATGAATGTGCTGCTTGAATACATTAACTGGCACATTATTCTGTCAACACAGGCTTTGATCCTGAGTTTAGCTGTGACATCAGTAGCGAACAGCCAATCACATGCTGAGAGAGTTTATAGAATATTAAGAATTTAAACAAATGTACACAGGAAGATTCGTCGTCTTTTGGGAGGTGATGGAAACTACAGTCGTTGGCAGGATCAGAGACGGGCTCTGGGGGGATCACTCTGATTTCGTTTTCAGCTTATGTTCAAAACAATCACGTTTAAGCCACTGAACTAGTTTAGTCCGGTTATACATACAACCGCGAACAGCACATGTTGTCCCTGAGCTCCGTAACGACATCTCTCATAAAGATTTGCGTCTTTAAATAGTAAAATAATTCTCCGAAAAACAGCTAGCCTCTTCGCTAACTAACACACAAAATACCATTGGAATGCTACTTCTGCCGCCTCACCGGGAGTTTCACCCACTTTATTTTTTACAGGAGCGCCCCTCGGAAACTTGTGGATAAGATGTGAATATACACAGCGCTAATGAACAAAACCATTCATTGCCAAACAATTACCAGAACAAATGCTACAGATCTTTGCATTTGATATTATAGAATAAGCTGTTCTATAATATCAGACTAATATATGACTACTGACTTTAAAAACAATACTGATAAATAGACATGTTAGCATTGTAGCCTGTTTCACAAGATCTTTACTGAATTGTTTTGCAGAAAGTGAATCTAACGTAACTTGAACTTTTTAAAAAAAACAATTTGTAGATGTACACGGTACACTCCAGGATAACACAGTTTTAGACTCTTTACTGACATCTATTAGTCACATTAGCAATATGACAAACAAGAGACATTGAACATAAATAGGCCTTTATGATAGCAAATTAGTACTAGACCCTTCACAGCATAAGGAAAAAACACTCGGATTAAAACAGCAGCTCTACTAAAACCACCCCATTAACACACAGGACGGCAGTGATACTGACTAAAATATTACGTTTAGGGACATTAAAAACTTTAAACAACGCAAATTTCATCATGTTTATCAGAGCAGGATCAAAGAATGTGAAAGAGGGCTAAAAACAAGGCAAGTTGTCTTACATTAACACTTTCATGCTTTTGTTTGTTTTATACTACGTTTGTCAAAACATTTGCACAATGTTGCCATTTTATCACGCAAAGATGCAAGAGTGACCAAATAGGACAGCGCAACACTTTAAATGAAAAAAAAGCACAGCATTCAAACAGCAAAGTTACACCAGATCAATACACACCCATGATCCATCTTGCAAAGGGTCCAAAACAGGTGACTTTAAACAACAAACAATGAGCAGTCTAAGAATAATGCTTCAGTTCTTGGGTTTGCAGGTGCAGATAGAGGAGATGACCTCAAATGGAAAGTATTTCCAGACACACACACACATACCTTTTGATTGCCATGAGAGTAAATGAATAAACAATGTCTTTACCTCCAACATTCCCTTGAAAAACAGAGAGTGATGTAGAAGACAGGATCTTGGAGAAATCTCAGAAGTTAAATCATTCAGGTAAGTAGAAAAGTTAGTAATCCACAGTCCAAGGCCAGTCTTAGATCAGACAAAATGTGTGACTGGGAGGAAGTAAAGTAATGAGCAGGAAGTAAAGTATAGTGAGCAGGAAGTAAAGCTGATGATAAAGTAAAGTATGTTTTTAAATGGTCAGTGATGAACAAATTATAAATATACTTTTTTTTGGGCGATCTCTGGCGAGTTCAATGCCAAGCATTTTTCATTTGAGACTAAATGAAATGGTGAGCAGGAAGTAAAGTGGTGAGCAGGAAGTAAAGTGGTTGAGCAGGAAGTAAAGCTGATGATAAAGTAAAGGGTGCTTCTCAATATCCCTCCTCGTCTCCTCGCTCCTCCGTCCTCCCTCCTATGACCCGGAAACCGATCGAGCTCAGCCATCTTGAAGGACATCTCAATTCTCTAATTGCACCGTGAGGAGTCGAGGATCGAGGAGATAGGAGGCTTTCTGAGGAGTCATAAGCGAGGATACACAGGTGCATCCTACGCGGAACTGTTATACTGACTAAACGTGACGCACGTGTCAATTCTCCTCCCCCTTCACATCGGTCACAATCATTTTAATTTATACTTTACCTTTGCAGTTTATATAAACCACACATCTCAAATATTTCAACAGTATAGCCTATCTTTATTATTATGAATTTATTAAATAACCAAACTTCAACATAAGGGCAGATCCTTTTAGCGCTGCTGATGACACTGTGGAGTGACGCTCGAGTGATCAAGTATTCCAATGGATATAAAAAAGCTTTTATTCGATTCCTCTGTCCTCCTTTCCTTTCCTCGCTTCCTTCCCTCGCGTCCTACAGGGGGTGGAGCTGAGACGCAAGGAAAGGAAGCAAGGAAAGGAAACGAGGATGCACAAATAAGAAATGAGAAGCACCCAAAGTATAGCTGTGTCCCAATGTGAAGGCTGCATCCTCCGAAGTCCGTATTTGAAGGACGATTGCGTCACAGCCGCGCGACGAAGGACGTCCCAATTCAAAGGCTGCATCCGCGAAGGCCGCATTTAAAGGCCGATTGCGTCATCGCGGTGGGATGAAGGCTGTCCCAATTCAGTTATGCATCCTCTGAAGGCCGTATTCGAAGGCCGGTTGCGTCATTGCAGCGCGACGAAGGCTTACCTGTTTCAAAAGCGACGCCAAATGCACCCTTTGTTTCCCCGTGAAAGGATACATAAATGGACACTTCGCGGACTATCCTACCCGATCCTACCCCATAAATCATTGCGAGGGTGACGACAGAATTTTTATTTTAAAAAAGGGTGGCCGAGAGTTCAGTGGTGGACGGCAAATTCACATTTAAATGTAAAAGTATTATGTGTTTATTTACTCAAATAGCCAGAGAAACCAGTGTTAACAGCCAAAAGTTTGGGGTTTTTTTCGGTTTTTTTTTCTTTCTTTCTAGTGGAAATGCGAAAACGGCTTTTATAGCCTTGTATTGTATTTCTTGTACATTGTATTTCTTTATTATTCATTATTTCATTATTTTATGCAACTTTAAATGTGTACACAAAAGATCACTCTGGATATTTGTTTATTTTTGTAAGGGTCTCTGAGTGTTTGCAAGGTTGATACAATTAAACTATAATATACTTTTGTTTTGTGTCGTTTAATGTAAAATGTGTAGTGTTGTTGTCCTGTGAGGGAAAAAAGTAGGCTACTTCACATTTGTACATGAATATCGCAGTATGAAGTTCCTTACATTCTCCCAGACTCCCACTGGTTATTTTAAAAATTAAAGTAACAAATTGTTGGTCCATTGTCACAATATTAACAAATTGTTGCTAACTTCAACTTCGTCCCATATCAAAGTGCGCACCTGAAGTGCTCGGACCGGTCTAGCCTGCGGAGGATTGTTCTTGTCGCCTAGCAACTGTGACTGACAGCTGCCGACGACGAGCGGGAGTAACGACGTTTGCACTGGACTTTTTATATCCAACTGGTTTAAAATATTCAAATAGGATTGACAGCCTGTATAAATATATTCACCATGGTCCATTTAAAGACAATAAAAAGAAAACCCTACAAAATCGCATCAAGGTACGATTAACATTTGAATATAGGCTATATATATATGTTTTATAATTATTATTTTTTATTTCATTACAATATTTACATAGGTTAATACCCAATATTTGAACAGTTTACAGTGTAATCTGGCTATTCAGGACGCAGCCTCTAGCATTAAACCAGCTCTGGCCAACTCTTGAGCAGAAAATGACTCGAAATATTTTCTTAGTGGTTATGTGAATTGAAATTATGTGATTTTATATATTTGCCCCTCATTTAAAGACAGGAAAATATAAAACATAAAATTTCCAGTAAAATATAAAACAACAAAATGACAATAGCCCGTCTCCATAGCTGTTTACTCAGTTTCATTAAATGAATGATCAGGGTGGCAGCTGTATCTCGCTCCGTTGCTTGGCGCCAGGAGCAGTAATAGGGAACACCTGGTTGCGCAATTAGGAAATCCCACGAAGGCTACATGAAGCGTCCTTCGAAGGCCAAATAGGCTGCATCCTTCGAAGTCTACAGCCTTCGAAGTACGCAGCCTTCACATTGGGACACAGCTTATGTTTTTAAATGTTCAGTGATGAACAAACTATAAATCAACGAACGATAACCTGTTTATTCTAAGCTTGCGCGCTGCGGTTTCAAAATATGTATAACGGCACTGAACATGTTTTTGCTGTTCTTGTTGCATTTATACGGCTTTAACCAGCAGATGTCCTCAGCATGCAGTGTTTTGAGTAAAGCTAATGTAAACAATCTAATAATCTAAAAGTGAATTTATATGACTTAGTTAATATAGTGGAATAAAAACAACACCTAGTGTTTTTCAGACAATGATGCCGAACCGAGCGCTGGACACCTGGGGTAATACTTCTCACCATTTATTCAGAGGGTATAAACGATTGTTTTCCATATCCATTTCTAAAAGCGGTGGATTGTTCTGGACCTCGGCGATAAACTTCACCACAATGTCGACTGCCATTTTAAATGCACAAGCCCTTTAGATTCGAGTGGATTCGGATTGGCTGTCAGTGTTTTATCGTTCGACAGCTGGGGAAAAAAACATTCTCAAAGTGCTCCTAAATATATCGTTCCTCACGTCTTTATCGTTATAGTTTTGGTGTGATCTCTGCTATTACTTTTAATATGGAGAATGATTTTTAGAACTATCTTTATAGTTATAGTCCTTGGTGTGGAAGGCCCTGAACGCTCCTCCAGCATCTCCACTGATTCTGTTTGTAACCCCTCCACCCAGGTCCTACTCGACCCTCGAACTCGGGTCTCCGGCATGAGACTCGGGCGCTCTAACGAGGAGGCCGAAGACTGCAGTGTCTAGCATCTGTCGCTATTGAGATTGAGATCAGAGGAGTGAGGTTTACTTGCACAGCACCTACTAGCTGGCCTCCGTTACATGTTCAAGCAAAGTTACTAATCTACTAGTAAAAATTAAGTTTACTTGATGTTGTGAGTTCCGTTTTCAAGGTACCATCCGTCTTGTTTGATTGAAACTTTTTTATCCTACCCTGTGAATTCAACAATTAAAGTAATAAAGAATATTTTGATTGTATTGAACTGTGTCGCTCCCCATATTTAGCAGAAATGTTTGACCGCAAATTGTGTTTTTGATTGACGTTGAAGTTGTTTTATAAATCTTCTGCCCGTCTTTGCATTGAAACATCCCTGGTTGACCTCAAAAACACTAACTTAGGATCTATAAGCTCTTTATCAGTAGCACTTACCTTAATTACATGAAAGCAGTAAGTCAGTGTAATTGAAACGAGTGTTCCTGAAACGCTGCGCATCTTAATTCCCAGCAGGATTAGCTGCAGATCTCTTTCTGCTTTCTTTAATCTAAGATGAGCTAAAGCGTATATAACACCCAACCATCGGCACTGCTTTCAGAGCTCATGACAAACACACATCGCTCTTCTGTGGTCTTCATGTTCTCGTCATGACGCAGACTCGCATATATTTCACTGCTCAGCCATTCTCAGTTCTCAGTGGCGTTGTTTTCTCCATCCTCTCAGTGTGAGCAACCACTTGTCATCATGAGCGAGAAACACACGTCCTCTGGGCCGCCGCTGTGTGTGCAGCTCTTCTCCGCGCTGGCGCTGGTGTGTTTCGGCATCTACTGCATCGGCAAAGGAGTTTCCTTCGGCCTCTTCAACTGGTGGTACATCTTGGGCGCTGCGTGTCTGCTGGCCACCGCCTTCGCCGCCTTCCGCGTGTACGAGGTGTGTGTGATCCTGGCGCGGAAAGAGACAGAGGGAGACGCGTGTGTGACGCTGCCTTGAGGCCTGATGACTGAACACATCTATGAGGAGAAGCTGACTCTGATGAAGATCACCTAATGGCATGTAAAACAACATCCTTTCTGTATTGTACAATAAAGCAAGTGACAATTCTGTGTCATACTGAACAGCGCTCATAATCGTTATTAAATCACAAAACATCTAAGAAATAGTTGTTTTAAGTTACTAAACAAGTTGCTTGTTCATCTATTTTAGGTGTTGAAATGGGAAAAATACAAACGTTCCCTTTTAAACTAGTGTAAAATGTGTTTTTATCATTAATTTAGTAAAAAGCAAACCTTGCATGTGAATTATATTTGTTCTAGCTGGCAGATTGATTGGATGTTAGTTGTCAGATTGAAAAGCTTCACTGAAGGAAGTTTGATGATTTAGTGTAAGATTCTCTGTTCATTTGGCCCAGATGACAGTGTATCATTAAGTCAAGTCACCTTTATTTATACAGCACTTTTAAAAATATAGATTGTTTCAAAGCAGCTTAACAGTGAAAATAGGAAATTAAAGTTACAGAGATTGTTTGGCTTCACATCAGTGTGATGATGATGATGATGATGATGGTTTAGTGCGGGTGGGTGATGGAAGAAGACGGGCTCGGCGAATACTGGGACCCGTACACTATCGTTAGGCTCAGGTTATAAAGTGACGCACGAACTCAAAGTTCATGTTCAAAGAACTCTCTTTCCACTTTAAATAAAAATTGCTCTCTCCACTGTATCAACTTCTCATTCCACTTCAATGGTGTAGGGTGTCGTGTACGAGATCCCAGGCTATCTCTCTCTCTCTCTCCTTCTCTCTCTCTCTCTCACACCAACCTGCTTTTTTATGCGGTGTCCCCACGCCAATTCCTGCGATCAGAGACAGGTGTTCGTCATGCTGCACTAGACCGCTCGGCTCCGTCCTCGCTCTCCAGCTATAGACTACGCTGAACCCCCCTCGCCACAATCAGCTCTAGAATAAAGTTTTTTCCAGCAAATGTTAGTTTTGATTGATTCACTTCCGTTGTAAAGATCATTAGTTATTAACTTAGTGGCTGCTAATACGACACCGCTCTACAGAACACCCTTAACGCCCTGCGTCCGCTCATTCGCACAACAACAGTGCCTGGTGTTTCGAGAACGTAAACTTTGAAATATGTTGAAATAGAAGGATTGAAATAAAAAAAAAAGGTTCTCTCTGTGCAAACTTCAAAAACATAAACCTGTGAGAAGGCTAACGCCATGCACATGTGTATTACGTGTTTAGTCTATACGTGTGCGTGTTTGAATATGTGCGCAGGCGTGTAGTCTGTCTTTTCAAATTGACCTCTGCAAATTACTTGTCTGGCCTTAAAAAATTATAATACAGATTTATTTATTGCTTCCGCCTGGCCATGTGAACTGGAATTATTTTGACAATGTTTTATCTGTACAGAGGTAATTCTAGGTATTATCAACTGGCCGGAGTTTCGAGATCGCAATAGACATGAAGGACTAAGCGCTTGCTCAAGTACTGGGAAGCTAAACCATTTAGCAATTTTGTTTAATAGGGAGTAAATGCAGTGCTGAAAGCTGTAGTTTGTTTATTAAGCGTGCAGGGCAAACACCCATAAGAGCATTACAGTAATTTAGTCTTGAGCTCATGAACGCATTAACTAATTGTTTCACATTTGACATTGAACGCATAGGATGTAATTTATTACGTAATTTATTATCATTAAGACATGTCTTTTCTCCAGAGTTGCTTCGAAACAATCTGTATTGTGAAACGCATTTTACAAAACCACTATTTTGCACTATATGTATGGCATGTCTTCAGTCAGAAAATACACACAATGATATCCAACCACTTTCTGCAGCTGTACACATAATTACAGACTGAAATCATGTTTGAATGTTCTGAATCTGTAATCCTGGATTGTCTTTTACGTATGTGCTAAAAAGTGGTAATGCATTACCTATTTTGGTCAGAAAAATAGAAGTTTTTCCAGAGGGCTATTGGGCTTAAAGCTGCCGGATTGAAGTCTTCAGTACGTACATTCAGAAACAGAAGGGCTCGCAGTATCTAACAACAGGGGTTTTATTAAAAACAATGAAATATACAAATGTAACACATCGGTCAGCATCTGCAGTCAACATCTCACTTCACAACAAACAGAAATATGATACACACAGTGTGTGTAAACCTCTAGTCTGTGAATTGGAGGATGTTATTAAGCGTAATGAAGCTCTGAGATCAGCCAGCCTCCTCTGCAGAACAGTCAATGCCGGCGTAGGTGAACTTCTCATAGAGCGTCGTGTTGACGTACGTCTGGACAGAATGAGAGAAGGTCATCAGCAAAACAACATGTAATGATGCTCTTGATCAGAACCGGAAGAGTAATAACCCCCATGATACCTTCCGCTCCTCCAGCATACGACCGAGAGACATCAGGATCTGAGCGAATGACGGTCTCTCGTACGGCTTCTCCTTCCAGCACTGTTTCATTAGCTCGTACCTGTCGAGCGAGACAGAGAAAGTGTTCATTCCACTTGCTCTGGCCAATGTGTGGCTGACGGGCGCTCCACACTTACACCTCGTCATCGCAGTTGAGCGGCTTCTCCAGCCGGAAGCCCAGCGGGAGTTTCTCGTACAGCTCAGCGCACGTCAGACCGCAGTACGGTGTCCCTCCTGCCAATCAAGAGCCAACCAATCACATGTCAGACACGCAACCGACCTCCAATACTGCAGGTGTGTCCCAAATTATGCACTAAATGTTCTCTATACCATCTAGTGTATGAGTTTTATATGGTTATTTAGTCATTCAGTATCATTCGGATAGCATGTCTTCATACGCTAGGTTGAATTAAACCTGCGATCAGTGAGTCCATGAAGTGTCCAATTAACTTGATTCATCATGCAGGTTTTTGAACTTTCTCATTACTCACGCCTGTCTCACACATGCTCCGTGTGCAGTGCGTATGCGCTGTGTAGCGATGTAGTAGTTTCACTATTTATGCTAACCAGTGCATGAGCACATGAATTGGGATGCACCTACAGAAATATTGAGAATATTGAAGAATATACAGTGAACACAGACCTAAGCTGACCACCTCCCAGAGCAGCACGCCGTACGACCACCTGTGCAGACAAAACACATGTTACTCTTACAAAGCACTGACAAAAGACACAGTGCAGACACAACACACATTATTACTCTCAGCGCAGACACAACACACAACACGAAGACTCTTACACGTCACTGTTGGAGGTGTAAACACTGTAGTTGAGAGATTCGATGGCCATCCATCTCACCGGCAGACGGCCCTGTGGAGAAACACACACGTTAAATCACACGTTCATTTATGCATGAAAAGAGCAGCGGCCTTCAGATCTTTACCATCGTCTTCTTCACGTAAACCTCCTGACCTCTGGACAGGCCGAAATCAGCGATCTTTGCCATAAAGTTTTCTCCAACCAGGATGTTTCTGGCTGCTAGATCTCTGTGAATAAACTGCAAACGAAAAATACTCAGAAATGTTCATTAAATATGCAGTGGTGCCAACTCGGAACCAGCAAGGTAATGTGACTGACCAAATAAATGCACATAGTCAAGTCACCTACATTTATATGCGCTTTTTACTGTACAGATGCAGCTTTACAGTACTAACAGATAACGCTGCGCACAAATATTCAAACGCGCATCCTCAGAGAATGAACTGTCAATGCGCAGGTGCGCACCATCAGCGTTCTCACAGGCTCGCGTTTTTGAAGTCTGCGTAGACAGAACTGAAGAGTTTTCTGTTATAATGGTGTTGTGTTAGCGTAGCGCCCCCTAAGTTAATCACTAATGATCGTTGCGGCGGAAGTGAATCAATCACAACTGACTTTAGCTGGACAATAACTCTATTCTAGATCTGCTGTAGAACCAAAACAATCTCTGTTACTTTCATGTCCTATTATCACTGTAAAGGAACAATCCTTTATTAGCGTAAAAGCGCTCTATAAATGAAGATGACTTGACAGAGTGTTTCCTGCGCTCACCTGTTTCTGGCTCAGGTAGTCCATGCCTCCTGCCACGTCTGCAGCGAAGTGCAGGAGCTGCTGCGAGGAGAGCGTGGAGGCGGTGCTGTTAGCGATGGCGAAGGCCGGGTCCGTCTCTAATACGCGGCTCTTACGCAGGAAGTCCAGCAGGTTTCCGTGAGGAGCGTATTCAATGGCCAGATACAGGTAACCTGCAGCACAAGCAATCAGTGCAAACGAGCTCTGCTATGCAGTAATGCCCCATCAAGAAGATGATGCGTTTGAGCCACACACCTCTGTGTTCACACGCTCCCAGGAGGTTAATGATGTTCGGATGGTGACCCAGCTTACACAAGACCTCCAGTTCACCCGCAAAGTCCCTGTGGTCGTCCTTAGACGCATATTCTATTGAGCAGACAGAGAAGAAGACGTCATGAGAAAACCTGCAATCGCTAGCACACAGAATGACTCTAATGACGAATTCCTCTTGCCTTTCATTCTCTTGATGGCCGCATCCATCCTCAGCCCGTCTTTCTTAATGCGAGCTTTCAACACCTGTCCAAAGTTTCCCTCTCCGATCACGTCCTGGAACTTTATGTCACTCCAATCCAGGGCTGGATAGGCCACAGACTGGCTGGAGTTGTGAACTTTCTTCGGCATGTTTAGAGGCACGGAGCTAAACTGGACCACGGGCTCCTCTCTCTGTGCGCACGGGAAGGACAGATGTTTACAGACTCTGTAGGTCCGGTCCAGCAGACCTGAAGCAGCTAACGAAGGTCTTCAGGATCACTGGAACCCCTGCTATACAGAGTAAGCTGTGACTGAATTCAGGTCAATTCAGTTGTGATCGCATCTCACCACTATGTTGTGAAAGGCCTGCACCATGCGTCTCTGGAAGGTGGCTTTCTTCAGCTGCAATACGATGCAGAAGGCCAGCAGGATGGTGATGCACGTCATGCCCGCGGAGCCCAGTATGGCGTAGAAGAGCATGTTTCCATGAGCCGTGAGTCCGAGAAGCTCTGAAACACAACAGATAGGAATACTGTCTAGAATGCAGCTGTAAATCACATTCTATATTGCAGAACGTTACCTGTCAAGTGTTAAACAAGTTAGTATGGAGGCTGTGGTTACACGACGTAAAACGATATAAATACTGTTCGTTTTCTCACACAAACAGCTCGTTTCGCGTCTTAGGCCATCAACGTGTACTTACATTAACGAGTCATTGATTAAATCATGTGTAATTTGGACTTCTCTGTGCATGTTCTTTGAGGTGGACCCCCTAAAGCGCCATTATATGACTGACAGACAACAACGGTTGGACCGAAAAATGTCAAAATTGAAAATAATGTGGAAACAAAAACACCATCTTGGATGCCCTTGAGGTAAGATAAAACTTATCAAAAATTAATTTCAAAGTAAATTATCCCTTTAAGGTCAGGAATCTGATACTCTTCCAGTTATTGATTCATCTAGGCCTAGTGCGCAAACACAAAATCAATTAAGTTGAACAGACAAACAAACACAAAATGATGTCAAAATATCCTCATATAGATATTGATCTTGACTGAATAACTTTTGTAACTTTAATAAAAAAAGTTTTTAATGGTTTTTCTAATTTCTTAATATATTACTGACTGTTTACTTGTCTTTATCAATGTTTAAAATTTATATTAAGTCATTTTTGCTGATATTTGCACCACAAACATGGCCAAGTTCGTTGTGTAACTGTTCTTTAGGCTGCTGATTTTTGTTCACAATGTTTTTCAGCAGTATGTTTGATATCTAAATGAATGTATAACTTCTGATGAATCCAAAACTGTACCTTTGTGCTGAACTTTGCTTAGGGCCCCCAAAATGGTAAACCCTCCCCTGTGTACAGCGTAAGAGACAGTTGGGAGTTTCCAGAATATTTTCACACAGAAATACACCGCTTCACTTGAAAACCAGATTCTGAGTCCAGTAGTGGAAGCTTTTGGAAATGAAGACACATCGGAAGGTTGGATCTCAGACTCACGTTTGCTCTCCTGCGAGGTCAGCGTCTGGAGGGTGACCTCTGGCCGTTCTGCACTCTCTCCTACGTTGTTGAGCGTCCAGAGCTGCAGCTGGTACGTGCTGTCGGCCCTCAGGCCCCGGAGCTGGAAGCTCATGCTGGTCTGGTCCGGCTGCACGCCGAGCTCCACCTGCTGGCTGTAGTCCTCCTGCTCCGTCTGCTGGTAGCGGATGATGGCTCTGGAGACGGAGTGACCCTCGGGCACACACCAGGTGATGATGGCTGAGCTGTCACTGATGTCATAGGTGGAGATGTTGGCAGGAGGAGGAGGACGCTCTGAAGGATCAACGCATAACCAATGAATTACACCCACCAACTCGCCACCAGTACTTGTGCACATACACGCAGTGCTATGTTTGCTTCATTGTTTGATCGCCTGTAAGTGTAAAATATCCTATCGCACAACTCTAACACAATGAGGCGTCAACTTCATGAGTTTCTGTGAAGTCTCTCTCAAACAGTGTGTAATGTGAACAGAACTGTAGAAATCATTTGGCGAGACCCAGGTGGATGAGAGATATCAAGAGAGCTTTCAGAGGAGACATAGATGTACAAGTTTAAGAAAATATCCAGGTAATCTTCTATATACATGAGGTGATATAACATCATGCTTACGGTCGCTGAGCGTCCAGGCGCTGGCGGTGGGACTGGGCCGATCTGTGCCGCTGCTGGTCGTCGTCACACTGCACTGGTATTTGTGTCTGGGTTTCAGCTCGCTCAGATGGAGACTGGAGGAGTTCGACACCAGCTGGAACTTCCTCACGGTTTCTGAAGCTCCGACCTGCTGACACGTGACCTTGTAACCCCAGGTGTCGTCGGCAGGAGCCGCGTCCCACGACAGGACCAGCGAGGTCTGATTGACAGGTGTCAATTTCACACCCGTGAGTGGCTCTGAGGACAGAACACACACACTTTAATATCTCATCATTTCGTGAATATTAGATGTGGTTGAGCATTAGTAGGGTTAGGCGTAGTTCTTGGGGTTAGGGTTGAGGAAGAGTTCTTACCGAGCACCTGAGTGGAGAAGGTGGCTTCGGGCCAGGGCTGGCCGGCTCCTCCCGGTCCGCGGCGACTGAGCTGCACCGCTGTAGTGTAGTCCGTCATGGGAGAAAGATGATCCAGCTTTACCAGAGAGCCGCCCGCTGTTCAACACACAGCCACACGAGTCTCTTTTTAATTCGTATCTCGTATCGACTCAAACATCCAGCAACAGATTCACAGACTTTCACAAATTGGGTATCAAGAGTAATGAGTCCATGATTCTTTTCTTCTTCAGAACCACACAACACTCTTCCCAATGATCTTTGTGGAGTTTTGTTTTCTTCTTTTGGTAGTATCACTCGGTGTGTCTCACACACACACACACAAACATTGTATACTGTATTTATATTATCAATACATATCTGCAAAGATTATTTTCCCAGTCCCTTCTATTTGCATTCTTTTCACCTTTGGAAATGACAAACTTATGAAACACTAGTTGCACTGCTTTTGCCAGCACCAATAAACACATTTAGCTAATAAGGGGAAATCCTACACATCGTGAAAAACAAACATCAGATGCCGTCAGTGATTCTGGCCTTTTCCTCCAGTCTGAAATGAAAGGGTCTTTCCGGAGCAATGACTTCACCCTCATTCTTCTGATTAAGTTCTGTATATCACAACCATCAGAAATATGTTCAGCTCATCAGATTTCCATCATCTTTTTGTAATCTATTGCACAATGGAAATATTTATAACACTAGACAGTTTGCCAAGAGCAACACAGTCCCCTATAACCTCGGATGTGAAATGTTCCAGCTGTTTTACGCAGAAGCAGACCACACAAATACACACATTGCGAAACTCAGAGAACATTACGCCCCGTTACCCTCAACGCTTCTCCATGTGGATGCGCCGGCCCGCCGGTAGACGACCTTGACCGAGGTGACTGGGCCGTCTCCCGTGAAGGGATCTTTGTCGACCTGCAGAATCAGGTGATGTGGACCGCTGTGGTTCAGGACGGGCCGATTCTGAGCCTGCGGGGGAACTGACACAAGACAAGACCTTATATAAGAAACGGCCTGTTAGATGGCTTGTTCTGGAAAATAAATAAATTCTCTTCTCTCTTAAAATGTGCTTGTTTTATGCCAGTGATCTCCTGCTTTAGACTCCACACACGTTCTACATTAGAGGTCGCTAGTTATCAGACCGCAGATCCAGTCAGGATCAACATAGGCACTGACAGACAAGCCATCCCAACTTAACAAAGGACCCAGAAGTCACATTTACCATGACAAAGTGTGTTTACAAAGACATTATGGGACAGAGACGGCAAACATTATTTTAATCACAATCAGTCTAAATGCCTTGAAAATATTGTATTCGCACATTATGCAGCTATTGCTCGATGTGACTGTGTGTGTGTGTGTGTGTGTGTGTGTGTGTGTGTGTGTGTGTTAACAGCATCTCAGACGCGGTGGAACCGCAGCAGGAACAGATTTACATGAACGTCAGAGCATTTGTGTTTTACAGTATTCGCATGAAGAGAAGACTTAGGAAAACACTGATTTCAATCTTGGGGAGACTGTTTTGACTACTGATTGTTATTTACTTTTATGCCTGCAACATTAAATAATTACTATTAATAATGGACATTGCTAATTTCAAAGCCATGCAACATTTTTGCGTTTGAAACACTAATGTTATAATTGCTGGGAAAGAAATGGAGAAGGTTGAAGAATATCACCTTTGACATTCACTATAAAGTCCTTCTCCTCCTGAAAGCTTTTGGTTTTCACCTGACACAACCAGCGGCCAGCAGCAGATAAAGGGATTTCCTCCAGCCTGAATGTGGATGTTGTCTGATCATTTTCTGTCTGTGTGTCCACTGCCTGAGAAAAACAAGTGACTATGAGATTTCTCAGAGATTAGAGGAGATAAACTCGTGCTGGAACAGAGTAATGATGATGTCACTGCGAACTCACATCGAGCCTGGATCTGTCGGGTTTGACGAGGGTTATTTCCCCGTGTAACGGAGCGGGCTGGCCTGACGCGGAGCAGTTGATGGTGTTAGAGGCGCCTGAGTTGATCTCCATGTCTCTCAGACTGCTCGCGATCACAGGTCTCCTGTCTTAGTGTCCAAGAAACCACATGCAGACATGGATTGAGCCCGGAAATCTCCCAGAAAGACTGGACAGTTTCGCTCGCTTTGAATTAAAATGATTTTCACCTCGTGTCTCACAGCGATATCCGTGCATGCCAGGACACACACACCCTCTGAAGCGATTGCATTCGCCCCGTTCACACACACATTTCTGTTTACAGTCGGCGCCGTAATAACCAGACGGACAGGCTGAAATCAGAAGACGTGTCCTCATCTGACATATATTTCAGTCATCATAATAATACAGAAATATCACTTCTTAACAGATTAGGGTTGTAATAAAATACAATTGACATTTTATTTCATTAAAATTAAAAAAGAACATATATATATATTTGTACTGTGTTTCTTTTCATTGCACATAGCATTTCACTTCAAAACATCTTCAACAAAACTAGTTCACAGTACTACGATTATTAAAGCTGCAGTCAGCAAGATGTTTTGATCATATTCATAGAAACTGCTTCTACCACTTGAGCCTTTGGCAAAACACCACCAGTTCATCTGGTCCAATCAGCACAGGGCTGTGAGATCTGACCGTCAATCACAGTTTCGTACACATGCCACAGACACACACACACACACACACACTGACGAGCATAAACTTGATGGGAGGGGCTTGTGGCAGTGGGGGAGGAGCATGAGAGTTACAAACAAATTTTGGCTAAATCCCCTCAATCTGCCAGACTTGCCGACTGCAGTTTTAACACCATTAGCCAGTAAACTGAGGGATATTAAACAAAACTACATAACGAATTTAGAGCACGTCTGGTGTGTGTTCAACTCACCCTCGCTGCAGTTCAGGCCCTTCCATCCAGACGCGCAGGAGCAGCCGTACGGGTCCCGGAGACAGAAGACCAGCGATCGGCAGAGGCCGTCTTCACAACGCTCCTTACAGCTGGGGCCAAAGCGGCCCTCGCCACACACTGACACGAGAACACACACACACACACACACATGAGAGAACACTAACACTCCTTACAGCTGGGGCCAAAGCGGCCCTCGCCACACACTGACACGAGAACACACACACACACACACACATGAGAGAACACACAACGCTCCTTACAGCTGGGGCCAAAGCGGCCCTCGCCACACACTGACACGAGAACACACACACACACACACATGAGAGAACACTAACACTCCTTACAGCTGGGGCCAAAGCGGCCCTCGCCACACACTGACACGAGAACACACACACACACACACACACACATGAGAGAACACACAACACTCCTTACAGCTGGGGCCAAAGCGGCCCTCGCCACACACTGACACGAGAACACACACACACACACACACACATGAGAGAACACTAACACTCCTTACAGCTGGGGCCAAAGCGGCCTTCGCCACACACTGACACGAGAACACACATAATAATAATAATAATACGTTTAATTTATAACGCACTTTTCATCCAAGGATCTCAAAGTGCTACAGGTTAAAAACAATAAAAGATAAACAGTTCTTTAAAAAGAGAGGGAAAAAGAAAAAAAAAAAAAAAAAAAAAAAAAGAAAGAGAAAAAAAAAAAAGAAAAAAAAAAAGAACATCTAAAGGGTATCAAAAGCTTTGCTAAAAAGGAATGTCTTAAGGCCTTTTTTAAAACATTCAGTGGATTGAGGTGCCCTCAAGGTGTCAGGGAGTGCATTCCACAGTTTTGGGGCAGCAGCACAAAAGGCCCTATCTCCCATTGTCGTAAGTCTGGTTCTGGGTATGTGGAGGAGGTTTGAGTGAGTGGAGCGGACAGAACGTGTTGTGTTATGTGGGTTGATAAGTTCTTTGAGGTAGGGGGGGCATGACCATAGATGCACTGATGTGTGAGAAGAGAAACCTTGTACTCAATCCTGGTGGAGATGGGAAGCCAGTGGAGTGAGTGGAGAATGGGGGTAATGTGCTCATGTTTCCGGACTCTCATCAGGATCCTAGCTGCAGAGTTTTGGATGTACTGAAGCCTCTGCAGACTCTTTCTAGGAATCCCAATGAGAAGTGCGTTGCAGTAATCCAGTCTGGAGGAGACAAAGGCATGAACCAGCTTTTCAGCATCTGAGAGGGAGAGAATGGACCGGACTTTGGAGATGTTACGGAGATGGTAGAAAGAAGTCTTACACAGGTGATTTATATGGGCTTCGAAAGTAAGTTGGGGGTCCATTTTTACACCAAGATTAGTGACTGTTTGTGAGAGGGGGATGATGGTGCCAGAAAAAGTGATGCTGGTTATGAGTGATGATTTAACCTGGTGAGGAGTGCCAACCAGGATGGCTTCGGTTTTGGAGCTATTTAGTTGAAGGAAGTTGTGTTCCATCCATACCTTTATCTCCTCCAGACAAGTGATGAGTTTTGATGTGGATGACTGTGAGCCGGGGGGGTCAGCTGTGGCATTTACATAGAGCTGTGTATCATCGGCATAGCAGTGAAATGAAATTTTGTGACGGCTGATGATTTGGCCAAGTGGGGTGAGGTAGAGGATAAAGAGGATGGGCCCAAGGACTGACCCCTGGGGGACACCACAAGTAACCGTGTGTGGTTTCGATTTGGAGTGGCCCAGGGAGATGTATTCTGTCCGGTTTGTGAGGTATGATCTGAACCAACTGAGGGCAGTGTCATTTAGTCCAGTAGTGAGGTGGAGCCGGTTTAAAAGAATGCCATGGTCGACAGTATCAAATGCAGCAGAAAGGTCAAGGAGGATGAGAAGGGAGGGAGAGCCAGCATCGGATGATATGAGGAGGTCGTTTGTGACTCTGACTAGGGCAGTCTCTGTGCTGTGTGCAGAGCGAAAACCTGACTGGAATTTTTCAAAGAGGTGATTATGTTTGAGGTGATTTTGAAGGTGGGTGGCAACTGCTTTCTCAAGTACTTTTGATATGAAAGGAAGATTGGAGATGGGCCTATAGTTGGATAGGACTTCAGGATCAAGAGTGGGTTTTTTGAGCAGTGGTGTGATAATGGCATTTTTTAAAACAGGGGGAACGTGACCAGTTTGGAGAGAATTATTTATAACAGCGGTGATCAGGGGACTTAGGACAGTGATATGGGTTTTTACCAGAAAGGTTGGGAGAGGGTCCAGGGGACAGGTGGAGGATTTCATTTTCCTAATGATGTTCTGCACCTCTTCAGATGAAATCTCAGGAAAGCAGTTTAAGGGTTTGGAGACGGTAGATTTTGGGGGGACAGTTTGGGTGGGAGGACCAGAAAGGGCTGAGCGAATATGTGCAGTTTTTGATGTGAAGAAATCCATGAATTTATTGCACTGCTCTTCTGTAGTGGTGGTAAGTGATGGAGATTGTGGTTTGAGAAGATGGTTTATAGTGGAAAAAAGCTGTTTGGAATTTCCTGGGCTATTTCTGATGGCATCGGAGTAAAACTGTGACCTTGCCTCATTGAGGGACTGTGCATATTTTTTTTGTTGCTCCCGGTAAATTTCTTTGTGGACAGTGAGGCCAGAGGCTCTGAAACGGCGCTCAAGGACCCGCCCTGCTGCCTTCATTTTACGAAGCCTGTCTGTGAACCAGGGTGCTGAGCGGGTGAAGGTGACTGTTCTTGTTTTAACAGGGGCATGGAGGTTCAGGAGGCTGCTCAGATGGCTGTTGTAGTAGTCCACTGCTTCGTCGGCTGATGCAAAGTGAGTGGAAAGATGCTGAAGGTCTGCTTCCAAAAGTTCTTGGTTAATGTTTTTTAGTTTTCTGAAACAGATATTCCGCTTAGGCTTGGAGAGGCTGGATGGAGATGGCAAAACCATAGAAATGGCCTTGTGATCAGACACACCCAAGTCATACGCATGCAGGTTGGTGAGAGGGGCAGAGTTAGTAATGACCAGATCCAAGGTATGCCCCCTGGTGTGTGTGGGAACACCAACAAGTTGTTTTAAATTAAAACAGTCCAGTAGTTGTAGAAATTCAGCCGCAAAACGGCAGGAGGGGGTGTCAACATGAATGTTCATATCACCTAAAATTATAACATCAGCAGAGGATGTGCAAAATGTTGTGAGTAGATTTGACATCTCAGTGATAAATAGTGGGTTTGGTTTTGGTGGTCGGTACATGAGGAGAAACAGCACAGGGGAAAGGGACTTGCATTTAAATGCAAGGCATTCAAATGAAGACAGTTCTGGTAATGGTTGCAGAGATAACTCCAGATCGCTGCGATAGATAACGGACAGGCCGCCACCACGCCCTATGCTACGGGCTTTCTGGAGATAGCTATATCCTTGGGGACAGCTCTCATTTAAAGAAGAAAATGTATTTGGTTGGTGCCAGGTCTCTGTAATGCACATATAATCCAGACCTTTATCCAGGATATGGTCATGAATGAAGCAGGATTTGTTTGTAATAGACTGTGCATTTAAGAGTTCGATTTTACTTTTTGATGATGCAACAAATCTTTGTACTGGTCGTAGCAGACTGAAGTCCACTCCACGTTTTCCATTCAGCTCACTGAGAGGTGTTGCCATGGAGACGTCCAAGCTACTTCTCCGGTAAGAGACAGCATTCTGATGACGTGTGCGTGGAGCGACAGTCCGCGTTGTTGACCAGAGAGCCGGGATAGTAGTCCCGTCACTCGACTGAGAGCAGAAAAACGTTTTGCGGGAACTTCTATGTATATAGCGCGGGCGACGAAGAAGTCCTAGTTGTTTAATCACTGCAGTACACGCTGGAGTGAAAAAACTGTTGAGATTCACCAGCTGTTCGACGGAATAACTCAACATAGTGGTGAATGCCGACGGATGGTTTCAGGCTTCCTAGATGCACTTTACGCTGGCATGGACAATTGAGTCCAGGCTGTCCAGGAGGAGACTTTTCCGGCTGCAGTAGCAGCGGCGATGACCAATTCCAGGGAGACTCCGAGCAGGTGTTTTGCTAGCGGCAACAGGTAGGCCACCGCTAGACTCAAAGCTACCTGATACCTATCCAGATCCTCAGTTCGGTGGTGCGGAAAGTAAACGTTGTTTAAAATGTCCACTGGTTGGTGGCACGGACATTAAAAGTAATAAAACAAAGTAAAAAAAATATGCATTAGTTGCATTAAAAACTTGACCGTATTTTAGCGTGACTGGAGAAGCGGCGAACAGACAGCGCCTGCGTCCTCTCCCAAGCCAAACACACACACACACACACACACACATGAGAGAACACACAACACTCCTTACAGCTGGGGCCAAAGCGGCCCTCGCCACACACTGACACGAGAACACACACACACACACACACACACATGAGAGAACACTAACACTCCTTACAGCTGGGGCCAAACCGGCCCTCGCCACACACTGACACGAGAACACACACACACACTTCATCCTCATGAGAGAATACACACTCCACACGAGAAACACAAATCTAACCCTAACCCAAATTTAAGAACCTATCCATAAATCCTGTCAAATTAGGGTCTGATTCACAGAACCATCATGTTAACATTAGAGCTCAATATGTCCCTTGTAATAAACGGGCCCTCTCTGAGTAAACTGGCAAAGAATATGAGTGTTACCGGTTTGACAGGTGGGTCCGTGAAAGCCTGGCGGGCAGATGCATTCTCCCGTCCCGTCGTGACACACGCCTCCATTCGTGCAGGGCGGACACGGGTTCGTACAATTCACACCCCATAAACCGGCCCCACAACCTGTTAGAGTAACAACTGACCGTTACACAACATAAGCGTGCATTCTACAGGAACTTCAATTGACA